GAGTGCTCGCCGGCGTTGATTTCGTCCCGCCTCGCCAGCGTTGCCCCGCCAGGTGGGGGCTTAGGCAAAACGGGGGCTTAGGCAGGGGTGCCCCTGGTCACCCTTATTATTCATGAAGTGCCTACAAGGATTAGAGGCAAAATTAGAGGGAAATGGGCTGGGCTTCAACCTCTCTTTAGTCAAACAAGGAAAACTTATTGATCAGGCACTACCAGCATTAATGTACGCAGATGATATAGTGCTAATGGCCAACAACAAGGAAGATTTGCAGAGATTGATGGACATCTGCGGTAATGAGGGAGATAGGTTAGATTTTATATTCAGTAAGGAAAAATCAGCAGTCATGATTTTCAATGACAACGAAGGCAGTGAGCTTAGGATACAGGAGGTCACGCTAGAGATAACAGATAAATACAAATATCTGGGCATATGGATAAGCAATGGGACCGAGTACCTGAGGGAACACGAAATATACGTGACGTCTAAAGGTAACAGGAATGCAGCAGTGATGAAAAATAGGGCACTGTGGAATTACAATAGGTATGATGTTGTGAGAGGAATATGGAAAGGGGTCATAGTTCCTGGGCTGACGTTCGGCAATGCGGTCTTGTGCATGAGATCAGAAGTTCAAGCAAGATTAGAAATTAAGCAACGTGGAATAGGTAGGCTTGCTTTAGGAGCTCACGGGAATACACCAAATCAGGGAGTACCAGGTGATATGGGATGGACATCATTTGAGGGCAGGGAAGCTAGCAGCAAGATAAAATTTGAGAAGCGATTGAGAGAAATGGGGGAAGAGCGTTGGGCTAGGAAGGTTTTCAGCTACTTGTACATGAAGAATGTCGATACAAAATGGAGGAAGCGAACCAGGAAGTTGACTGGTAAATACTTAGAAAACAGCAGGTGGCCAAACCAAAAAGAACTATCGGTTAAGAAAAAAGTGAAGGAAACGGAGACTGACATGTGGAGAATGGGCATGATTAAGAAGTCCGCACTAGAGATATATCGAACTTTTAAGCAGGAAATTGCCAAGAAAAGGATCTATGATAATACTCGGGGTAGTTCTCTACTGTTTGAGGCAAGGACGGGAGCACTGCGAACCAAGACATATCGGGCCAAATACGAAGGGGTAGACACAGTATGCAGTGCATGTGGAGAGGAAGAAGAAACTGCCGAACACATGATAATGTTCTGTAAAGGGCTTCACCCTATAGTTCAGGATGATGGCGCCGAGTTTTTCAAAGCACTGGGGTTTAGGGACCGGGAGGGCAAAATAGACTTTAAGCAAGTAGACTCAACTAGAAGGAAGTTATCTGATTGGTGGCTAAAGTCAAGGCACGAGTGAAAATTAAACTCTTCACTGCAAAGTACGAATCCTCAAACTCACTTTTTAAGGAAAAAAAATAAATATAGCTTTGGGTTCATTAAGTATTCGGCTTGGTGGCGCTAGCCACCGCCCGATCTAAAGGGTACAGCCATATCCATCCATCCATCCATCCATCCATCCGCAGGCGCGCTTCACGCTGCGTTGTTTTGAAGCATGTGCGTTTCAGCACGTCCGGTGTCCCTCCGCCATCAAAACAGGGAGACGCAGTGTTGTCTGGGTAACGCATCAGGGCGAAATGCAGCATCCCACAATCCACAATCTTCAATCCCACAAACCCACAATCTCCATCCCACAAACCCACAATCTCCAACTCTCCTACAACAAAAACTGGGCCCACTACCCTGTGCGTGACGGTCAAACTTTTTGTAGTCTCTAAATATGTGTAACAGTTTGCTCCCGTAGCGTTCGCGGCAAATTGCAGTGATGCTTCGTGACAGTCACATCCACGATTAGTCCCTTGAACACGTCGTTTCACAGCGTTCATTTCATTCGGCGCGTTTACAATAGGGGAATCGCACTTTTGTCAACTCATTAACACACACCCCGGGGGCGATATTATCCCAAGCGTTGACATCGCTCATTGCATCGATTCATACCAAAAGAGCTCTGCGACACCCGCCGGCTTCGCCTGGCTTTAATTGGTGCTCGCCCCGCCAAACATCGCGGCCGGCAAGCGGGGAAGGGTCGGGCAGTGGTGTTCAAGAACTCTGAAATGTCGCAAGTAGGTGGCCTTAGCCAAAATCAGGCGTCCAACACCTCATGCTTGTCTGCCTTTGACATCACTTTCTCCAGTTCCGCCTTCCGCGTTAACTACTAAAGCTAACGCAAGCATCTATTACCACAGGGGTTTGTTTAATCATTAAGGATGGACGTTATTTGTCAGGATGAAGATGTATGACTAGCGTCAACGTGCATGCTTCCAATTAAATCGATGCTATCTATACCTGTCTAACACCAATCTACATGGAACGAGCACTCCTATAATGATGTATAGAAAACACGGTAATGCTTTTGTACAGACACGTTTTACTTTACAGTCACACCGATGTCTATGACAGATGGAAAAATGATGTTACTTTCCTTTCTCTCTCTTTCTATTTCACGACCCACAGGTCACGGCATCAAATACCGGTCATGGTGGCCGCATTTTCAATGGAGACAAAATTCTCGAGGCCCGTGCACTTAGATTAAGCTGCACGTGAAGAACCACAGGAAGTTCGCATATTCATATGGCCCTTTTTGACGTTATAACTAAACAATCATTTATATTTCGTGCTTGCATCCTTGATTTTCCTGTATTTATACGTGTTCTTTCTGAGTTGAGCGAATCATACTAGTACTTGTTGATTATTATATCGAAAGATCATGATGAAACCACTGGAAGAAAAGGAAGAACGCTTCTTGGCGTGAGCGCGTTACGCCAAGCAACGATGGGAGCACACGGAATCATGTGACAGCCTGGCTCCCCAAAGTGTTTCGCACTTAGAAAACAAAAGAAAAGAACGTGCTGAAACTCATTACAGGTGGTAACAAACATATGTACCATCTCGACGCCTTGTTGCGTGAAGCCCCCTCCCTTTCTCTTCCCCTCCCATCCTACCCCGTAAAACACCGTGGGACGAACGGAGAAAGAAAGTGCTCAATGCATGCTAGGAATCTCAACTCCATATGACTCTGCTACTACTTGACGCATTAATTCTAATTTTTTAGAGTGCTATGCAATTTTCGAAGACACATCCCCTAAATGACAATGCAGATTTTGAATAGTCTAAAAAATGCTCTTGCTGTTTTGCTAGCATAGGTCGTCACTCTGATCTTAGCAGTTCTCAACGGGCGCTAAGTAATCAGTAAAGCATTCAATATCAATCAATTATCAAACCAAACAACCTACCAAATAATATATCTTTTATAGCAACAATCTACTCGTCACTCAGTCAATTAAGCATTAAAAATAATAAAACGCCGAGAGCACGTAGGAAAGTACCGAAAGATTACATTATTATTATAATTAAAATATTGTAAAAAGTATTAGTGATAGTTTAATATTAACCATAATAATACCTTTTCGCGATAATCAGTGTCATTTCTCGCAAATTTTATTGCATGCAACAGTGCAAAAAAAATGCAATACACAGCCTGACAAGCAATAAAAATATATATGTGCTGGCGCCTTGTCCTCTGCAACGTGTAGGACACAGGGCCTGGTAATGCTGCTTTGTGTGACCATTATTTGACCAACGCAACGCACTACTAAAGTAACGAGTGTCCGCTCTTATTAACAAACCAAAATTGTGAACTAACTACTAGTCTTTTTATGTCTCGATTACCCAGTCATAAATTTACCAGTTGTTCATCAACTGTTCAACTATTATCAGTGTGTGTGGCAAATCAAGTGCACTCACTTGTAAAGCTCAAATAAGTATAGATTCATCATTAAGCCTGGCACCACTACGAGCCTAACGCAATAGGCAATAACTCAACCAAATAGAAGAAAGTGGTTATTAAACTGAATCAGTATTAGCTATTGCTACTTGCGCTCCGCCAACGCCTTCTTGGCCTAGCGTACGAGGGTGACCATATCCACACATGTGTTTCAAACATGCAATCGACCCAACCGCTTACTACGGTTCTCGCCCGTGGTGTTGAGGACAGCCAACAGTTTCTGACATTGCATGGGAATGTGAGTTAAGGCCACCCTAAATTACCACACCTCAGATTCTGGCGCGAAAATTCAGACCGGAGCAGTGGGAGACGTTGCTCGCCAGCGAGAAAAAGGAGGCCTACGTGGCGCTCCTGAACCAGGCGAGGGGGGCTGCTGAGGCCAGCGAAGTCGTGGAATAGGGGTACCACCCGCCTACTTCGGGCTTTTTTTTTCTTTTTTATCTTTCATCAGCATTTTCCTATTACATTGCAATCTGGTCACGATGGACTGCTTTTTCCACAATGAACAGAATTATTGTACATGATTTCGATATCTTAGCGCCAAAAACGGTTAGCGCTCATATTGTGTACGTCTCTTTCTTTTGTCTCTGATTTTTCGGCACTAAGATATCGAAGTCATGCATCTTTACCAACCCGCCCAAATCGCCGCACTCATCAGAATTATTCTGGCTCGGTGTGACGTCACACAATAACAAGCACGGTTCAGTCCTGCAAAAAAAAAAAAAAAAGGACGGGGGGGGGGGGGGTTCACAGGCGCTCTCACTCATTGAGAAACACGGAACTGTCACAGCAAACGACATATACGAATGAGTGGTGCCCATTTCGCGCGGCACCGGAAGAGCGAGAGATGCGCTGCAGATTAAGCGGTGAAACGAAACGAAATCGGACAGGAGGCGATAATGCGCATGTTCCGTGACATCGTGGATGGAAAGGAGGAGATGCTCAGGAAAACGGAATGGGCGGCTCAACTCAAGCGCGCCCCCTGGCCCTTCCGCACCCAACTTTCGTTAGGAGATCGCGAGAGGGCGGCGGAGTGAGAGCCGCCAACGCCACTGCCCTTCCATGTCCCCTGGCGGTGGTTTGGCTCGACTCGAGCGCAGCCGCCGGCGAACTGCGGTAGTAGGGCTGCTTGCGGGCTCGGGTCCGTGTCGGGTGCTTCTTCATTGCGCGCTCGGGTCACGCGGCGTGCGGAGGCTGTTTGCCAGCGTGCTACATCGTCACTCCGAGCTCACGTTCGCCGGCTCCTTAATGGAGCGTATGAGCGTCGCTGCGTGTGCCGCGAATGGAACAGCGGTTGTCGGCTATGGAAGCGTTGCGGATTAATTCGTCTCGCCATAGAAACAACGAAGCACGATTGCGGTGAACGTTTCAATCTACACTGCCATCTCTTTTAACGGCCGGGACGTTCGTTGAACACAAGAACTACTTGGAATAACCTGCACTAAAGTAAAAAGTCACGTCTTCTCAAAATCAGACCATGGATTTGTAGACCTTGGTCTCTTTCAACTGCGTTATCAGTGTGGTTGTTTTCTGCAAACGACATTCCCGAAAACTGTGGATTATAGGACGCCTGGTCGCGCGGTGTGGAATTCGAAACAGAAACTCGTTCGTTGTGTTTGTGTTCGCTCGTGTGTTTACTTGCGCATTCCGAACGGATGAATTACTGAAACATCGCCATGGAACTAGAGCAAAAGAAAAGGCCAATTCTCATCGCTGCAGATCAACCAAGGTAAGGCTCATCATTTTTGAAGAAAAAAGAGGAGGTGGGTGGGACTGCGAGTACTTGCATTCGATATCTGTATATTTTTGCATGCCCTGAAGCTTCCGCTATAATGTTGGCTACATTCAAATCTAACATTATTTCAATGGTATAGAGTAGACGGACAAATTTAAGGCAGTACGTAAGAATAAAACTGCTTTAGTAATTATGTTTGATTTCTAGATACTTGACAGAGAAACTGGTAAAAATATGTTAAAGTTAAAGAAATTATCGTCTTTTTAGGTGACTCCTTATCACCCAAAAGCACACTTGGCAAACTCCAAAATTACTGCAAAAGTGCTTGCTCATGAAATCGCCCGCTTTCCTTATGCCGTTGTGGTTGAATGTTGGCTACCGTTTCAAATACTATCAGTCCGCTTATCTACTGCAATGAAGAATTCCATTTTAGGTGAAAGAGAAAAGGAATTGTCTAATAAAGTGCTCACACCTTCAAAAGCCATCTTCCAAGAAGCGCGAAGGAATGTAGAATTAGCTTGTAAGAACACACATGACCCATAAACCCCTTAACCCTAATATAATTTTTACAAAAAAGTGGAATTATGGCAGTCAAGTTCCTGATGGCTTCTGTTCATATTTGTATGTAAGGTTGCGGTTCACTACCGCAGCTGCATCATCGACCAGACTTTGCTCTAAGCACTTAATCACGCTACAAGCATAACATAATATCTTCCAAGTTTACAATGTCAGTTAACGCGTTAATCTCATAGAATGAGAATTGACGTCAAATGAAGCTTCTTAAGGAATAACGTTTTCGCATGGTTTTCAAGGATGTAGACAGTTCACAGCGAGACGAATCACGAAAGGCATCTTGTAGATAGGTGAAGAAGACGACTTTATTGTGTGGCCTCTATAGTTATGAGTAGTATCATCTTACAATTCCCGGCCGGTGTTTTAATCATCCCATAATCATCAGAAGGGCCTTTCATTCAGTCTTCGTGTTCATTGTGCAGAAGTGTTCCTTCGTTATCCGTGTTTCGAATCCAATTTTTTTTCTGAATGCGCCATCATGAGCGTGCTGAAGTGTTCAACTTACGGTGGTTATTGCAAACCGTGCACACAACGCGCGTGCATGTAGTTTTGTCTGAACGATGAGTAGCCTGGGCTATAGCGTTGCTTACGGCTGGGTTATAGGGCTGCCATTTCCAGGTATCATCATGTTGCATGATTGGGCTTCGGGCATTTTAGTTTCCGTGGCAATGAGCGTTCCCCTAGCTGGGAACCAGGATTTTCAAAGCTGAAAAATAGGTATGGTTTCATGAAAATACTGATGGCATATTTCGCAGCAAAATCACAGTGGAAGGGAAAATAGTCACGTTTTGTTGAAAAAAATTGATAGAGGCGGAATACACTTTATTGCACGATCACTTATTGCAATGCGTTTAGAAAACCAGCAAGTCCACTTTCTAATCTTCCTTCTTAAAAAAAAGGAATGAATCCAAGCGGAAATTTCTCTGCTAGCGCAAAAGCCCAGAAAAGGGGATGGGTGCTTAAAACGGAAGAATCAGAGTTTTCGAGAACTAAACAGAGACGATGAATGGTAGGACGAATGAGTTAAGGCCGCAGGTGACCAGAGAAGGGAAATTGCACCAGAAACCGCAGCGCGCCGTCGTAAATTAGGCGTGTCCCTCACGAGTTCATTTATTCTCGGCGAAGATAGGTTTTCCGCGTCAGAGCTTTAGGTGGGGGCCACTCTGAGAACAAAAAACGACGATCCAAACAGATCGGCTCGCTTCTAATTAGTGGACCAGTATCGGATGTACCAAGGAATGACCTAGATCGGTCGCCTTTGCGATTGTAGCGAAAAGTGCTCCTACGAGTAATTTGTAACCGGCAACTATTGACGAAGTTTGCCCTCTTATTTTGTTGAATTATTTGTTTACGTTCGTTTTAATTTCTAAGTACTCTAGTACGATCTTTCGAAAGGATATTACCTAGCAATTCTATTACTTTCACCTTCTGAATCCCGCTTAGTTCGTTCTCAGCTTTAGTCGCAGTTTGCGATAATCCTCATTTTCCTTGTTGCCGAGAAGCTGCATGCTGCTCAGTTAAACTTGAAGAGAGAATTTCGCAAAACTTGCCTCTGCTAAAACACCTTCGTATAGAACAGGTTCCCTAGCGAATATGACTGTAGATTGTGTAAACTCATTTTTCTCAATCTCTTTTTGATACGGTAAAGGAAAATTTCCAGCGAATAACATTCATAAAGGCATAAAATCTAGAAAGTCGGTTGGTGATTGGAAAACAACGATTCAGAATAGAAACCTTAGGATGGTGGTTAGGATAATCATTACTTGTCGCGGCATCTTCATCCCGTATACGGTGCTTTTATGTACTTTTGCCCACACAAGCCGCTTGTGAAATCTAGATTTATTCGTGGTCTTGTTCATACCATTAGTTTAACGGTGTCACGTTGCGCACGGGGCTAGTAATATACTTTAAATACAATCACACTGCTGACTGATTCACACTGACATGGGTACTTAATATGCGTAGACATATGTTGCACTTCAAAAGCTTTGCTCCTAAATTACTCCTTTCCACTACATTTATAGCTAGTAATGTTGAAATCGTTGTTCAACCAATCTTTGCAGTTTTTTAAGTAACACTCGATGACTATGAAAAATTTGTAAGCATAAAGTGAGCACTGAATGCGGTGCTTAGACGAGTGTACTTGCCTTTTCCAAAGATGCAACTTCATGCCTTGCAAGGCTTGACTCAATGCATGCAACTCAATGACTAATAGTACGTGCTTGGAAAACAAGATACATCGTTTGTTCTTAAGTAGGAGAAACGTTAATATACCCCATGCCTAGGTAAGAAGCAGCTGTTGTTTTTATGGCCTCTGTTTTTAAGTGCGCCTTCCTTTTTTTACTCTACTTCGACAATTCATGAAAACGCTAAGTTTTAGGTATCAACCAAAACGCGCTGTGAGGCCACATGCTAAGCTCCCGGAGCACTATTCTTGGTGTTGTGCTCAGCATATTTTATTCCTTTTAAACAGTGTGCTGTAAACATCACGCTTGGGAGCGGGAGCCTATCTGCACAAATGTGTCGCGTCATATGAGACGCCGACGACCAGGCAAAGCCAGCGATTGGTGGCATTGCTATTCAGTAGTTGAGACTGCGCCTTTTTCGCCTTCGGATAACAGTTGAAAAAATTCAGTAAGCTGCCCTTGGCGGACGCTGTTATTTTATGTTGTTCTTAAATTGAAAAGAAGATAAAAGTGAGCCTCGTAACTGTTTGCATCAGTTGCGACACCTCAACAGTTGCTCACAAGGGATGGGGGTAAGGAGGGATTAAAAGGATAGGATTAAAATGCATATAGAGAGAGAGAGAGGAAGGAGAGAGCAAGGTACAGGGACAGCGAGCGATGGAAGAGAAGATAGAAAAGATGGACCTGATCGCTGGAGTCCGAGGACAGGGCACCACTCGACGAGACCTCTTGTCGGCGTCAGGAGATGGCATATAGGGTGAGTCCAGGCGGCCAGAGCTGCGCTGTCGTCGGAGATCGCGAGGGCACAACCGGTCGGCATAAAATCCAGCAAGCTAGACGGGGACACTGTTGAAACAGCGACGGTAGTGGCGTGCAATGGGGTTGAGTGAATTCGAATGAAGTGCCATGGTGTGATCAGCTGAGGAAGGACCTTAGTGATGAAGCGAGAGTGACGTGGCATCAAGTAACTGAGTGAAGTAGGAAGATAGGCGAGAGCAGTAGTGAGCATTGGGCTGAGTTGTGGGAGTATTGAGTAGTCGGAGAGGCGAAAAGGGTGGCATACATCCACAACGGGATATACCTACTTTCTTTGGGTAAATTCCGATACGATCTACGAAAGTTATCAAGCATCAAAGCATCAACCTCTAACAGCTTCGTAATTGAAAAGTAAGCACGTAGTTTTAATAATTCTTTCGAGTGGAGCGGGAGAAAAGCGGATTAACACCAGTCCCACCCCACCCTCCGACGAGTTAAGAGTAAAAGCGCGCTTACGCTGCGATGAATATTTCCAAAAAACAGAGCCTATATTTTTTTCTTGCAGTGCGGCATTGGTGTATGATATCGTGTCGATGTATATGAAAAATCATTCCTAAATTCATCCTTGAATAAAAAATCGGGCTCTAGTTTGTAAGCCTAAATGAAATAAATAAATTGTTAAAATAATTCTGACAGATTAAAAAAAAACTTTCGTGCGCAGGGAATTGTGAGGCAATAAATTTTAATGGTATCATAATTTGATGACTACTAGAAAAACTCTTGCATGGCTCCTTTTTTAAGCGCACAAACGACCGCAGTTTGCATGACCGATTGAGGGTGGCAAGTGGCAAACAGGAAACGGAAAATCTGCCCAGCCACCTCCGCTTAGCCACCACTGATTTAACGTTGAAGGTGTGTTGTGGCAGTAGTGGAAGCAGGGGTACCAGTGGCACATAACCGTTGTGAGATTTACCCACTGTTTGCGGGTAAATCCTAATGTGACCAACTATGGCTCCAGGTCATGAAGAACTTTGGTGTTGAAAAGGAATACTTGTCGATGATCGCATCCCAGGCGTACCTAAGTGGGTAACGGTAGTACCAAGCAGTTGGTAGTGTATTCTTTGCGACTGTTCTATCATTGTATATCACCTCTAAACACTTAATCAGGCCCCGAGTTCTCAATAGAGCCAGGAAAACGAACAATTGCTTGTATCCTTTCTTGATATAGCCATCATTTATATTGGAAATGAATAAGTGTAAATTATATGACCTAAGGCCTACGCAGCCAAGATTCATGAGCAAAGTGCACGAAGCCGATGAGTATGGCGAGTTATAGGAATACCGAAAAAAAAAACTGCGTCTGTGCTTTCTCTGAAGCAAGCGCCTTGCGTAAACTCATTTAACGACACGTACTCAATCTATCTTGCGCGTATATACGCACACGTTCTTGCCATCTGAACGACGGTATTACGATTACTGTACAACACTACGCTGGAATTGTGGTGCGCAATCAACTCCATTGAGGGGACAGGCCATTACCTCCTCTGTAGGTACAGTAGGCTTAATGTGAATGTCTTTTTGAAGCTGCACGAGCAAGAAATTACACTAATTTCGAATGTGTATACAGTTTGTCAGAATGTGCAACGATGGATTAATGCACATGCTTCTTTTGCAACATGTGCGCCGATTTGTTCAGCGTCGGAGGCAATTACTCTAAGAGGTGATATCAGCATTACTAAGAAAGAAAGAGAGAGACAAAAAGAGAAACAAAAAAGAAACATAGGAAAAGAGAAATTTTTGGAGGAGAAAAATTCTCGTCAAGGCGAGATTCCAATGCGCGTAGGCGCAATATAAAAGTGGGCGTAGTAACCAATTACACAACCAGGTATTTTGGCAAAGCATATGGTATAAGATTGTAGCGTAACAATAGGGTGGAAGAGAACTGAGGGAGAGGAGATGGGAATGCAAGAGGAGGGGAACGCCACCCTCTTTTTTCACTCTTCACACAGCTTGTGCGCAGCTTCCTAACTAGTATTTTTGTCACTCATGTCTTATTTCGTAAGATATGAAAACAGCACTCGAACGTTAGCTATAGTAGAGTGGGCTGTCCCATATTTATCAAAAAAGTATTTAATAACATAGAAAGAAAAGAAAATTTTTGGAGAATAAACGAATAAGAAATAACATATTATATTCACAAGCACTATGTACAGATACAGTATAGGACGTATAAAGCATGACCAGAATTCATGGGCATAGTCCATTATATGAACAATGATATTATTGCGGATAGAGACCGTAGAAATAATTTTTGTATGCACCTGAATATATCATCACTATGAGATATGTTCATAAGTCAACAGTAAAGAGAGCAGCAATAATAAGTACGCGTGTTGGTAACAAACGTGCTTTGTCTGTAGACGCAGTTTAATTTTTTGCGTCAGTTCCAGCTGATGATTGCGTGGAAGGTGCGGTGATTAAAAAAATGAAAAAGAACAGAAAAAGCTACTACCACATAACAAAAACTCCGCCGAGTTAAATACAGCATGATGTTATGGCGCAGATGCGCTGTCAGGAAACAGCTTGAACGCCATTCTTTCAAAGACAGTAACCCAATTCACAAAAAAAGCGACATTCCAATCGATCGAAAATAGAGCAGCCCCTCCTAAAAGCTTGAAGGAGGTCGGCGTAACCTGATTTCCATGGCGACATGTGTGAAGCCACCAGGGACCACCGAGAGGCAGCCGCTTCCGTAAATGTCTATGAAAACCTGAATATCGAGTTGCCCTCGAGAAAATGTAAACTGTGGTTGTTGACTATTTGCATTTCACTTGAAAGCGCTGCCGAGAAAAAAAATAGAAAGAACGAGGCGTTAGGTGATCTTTAGGCTTGAACGAATATCTTGTTCGTGGCTGGCGAGCCAAAGGTAGCACTAGCTTAAAGTGGTGCCTTCTGCTTACTTTTTTTTTTCATCTTTGCAAATACGACTTTGCTCACGCATGTATTCGCTACTTTCAATATCATTGCTGCATGTGCCTTTGGCGAGAAGTTTGCTAGAAAAGTATTTGTAGGAGACGTTGTTGCTGTTGAAGGGCGCAAAACACGTTCATAATTTTCACAGTAAGAACAAATCGTTTCTCCGAATGCAGTAATATAAATGATTAGTTTTGACAGATTTTCAGCTTCGTAGAAAAAATCTGGAACAGTTGTCTGAGTAAAATATCTATAATATTGGCGTATTGTAAAATAAAGAAACTAAAGACAGGTAGCGTAAACCTAAAGAAGGTCAGTATAATACCTTCTAAGAAGCGGTTAATTCTCATCTACTTTTGTCATACGCGCCTTTCAAAAGAAAACATGTAATGAATGTTCAACGCAACGTTATTTTTTTCTGGGGATGCCCCAGCTGTTGTATCGACATCTGAAGTCCCTTTGACCAATGCCTGCAAACTTTAGGCAAAGTATGAAGGGAAAGTAATGCACGATCCCAGTTCGGGTTCTTTTCTGCGTAAGCTGTTCCAAAACGCATTCTCTCTCTGCAGAACTTATTGTGATTGACATAGCCGAAGCTCACAAATAAGCTTTTGGAGTTCAGAAAAAGTAGAAAGTTGCCTAAAACAAACCATATTTCTCAGTAAAGCTGGCATGTCAGTCAATGCACGTCGAAGGGCGGCACAGCGAATGAAAGAGAGTAGCTCCACAGAAACAAGGAGTGTTTCTTTTTTGACTGTTCCACAAGGGCGGTTGTTTGCAATTTAGAAGCTCTATATCGCTTCGGCAGCTTGGTCCAAATGCACAGATCACCCGCATTTCACAACAGCGTGGCGTTGTGAAATACAAAATGTTTACCCAAGACTACGTAGAAGTCCTCCATTGAGGAACAAGCAATGAAAGATATAAAGTACTGCAGAATGAGTTTCTGGGGTGGGCGAGTGATGGTGTTACCATTCAGTTTGACGTGCAGGCTGCCGGGGTCCAGCTGGAAAGGAAACATTCTTTTCGCTTTCTCTGTAAAGGCAGTCATACACCCGCTTCTTGTCGATAGACCACTGCAGACGGTTTTCTTCCGCTACAGCGAGCGATCGTACCAGATGGGAGCGGCGAACAAATTGCAGGCTTTCTATGCGTGTTTGCTAAGCCTAAAGAGAGGGAAAAAAAGAAGGACAAAGATCGTCTGAAGCGGGATTTCACTGGACAAATGGGAAAAAATCGTTGCCCAACTCTCCCGGAGTTTTCTCTACCAATCGGACGACGTCACGGGTTCTGCGCAAGAGAGATTATAGGCCTGCGCGATATGTCGGACTGTGCGCTATGCGGAGATCATCGGAACACTCACGGTCATGAATTAGGTTGTTCATTCCCATTGTTTGCTGTGTACAATTTTTGTGCAGTTCTTGTATCGTTCCTTTTTATACCTACTTTCTCGTAGTGACATATGGACAGAACAAAGCCTTCAGGAAAATGGCAAAGCTACTATTCTATATTGACAACATTGTCCTAAAAGCCAACTTCATGATAATCAGGCGTGAGAGCGGGGGCATTCAAGTAGTATTTATGTACCTCCTTAAGCTTATTTGCAGAATGAACAGAAATGTTCCACGCCAGTGTAGTGAACTTTGCATGAGAAATTCCTCATATAAGGGTACACAGGCACTAAAAATAGCTCTTCCTGTTTCAAAGGGACATACATAAAAAGATAATCATTGAAAAACTACTTGCATGCGCTACCAAAATATATCGTTTAATTACTTTGAGCAGTTTCTCTTCGCTTTGAATTTGTTGATTCTGAGACATAATTGGTAACCCGATCAGACATAAACAAAAAAGAACGGAGTCACTGAAGACGTGGGAAAAGTATTCATTACACGTGTCCCTCATAATTAGTCGCATGTGTTGCTGAAAGAAGAAACTGAAACATGATTTTATAGCTGGAAATCGCTGGTGAATTTATATTTTTATTTATTAGGACTATGTGGCCGGCAGATTAGACATAAGGAAAGCGGGTGCACTTGAAGCAAGGTATAGATGCTTGTTTGCCAAAGAACTCTTCTCCACGGGTAGTCATTGCTTAATACCCCCGTCGAGCCTTGACATCTGAATTAGACTGTGTGGCGTTTGCTAGATTGTGCTTGTTTTGTGTCACGCGATAAAATGCGCTGCAGTGTACATGAGCAGCTCCAACAGAGCGGATTTCACGGGCGACCGACAGCGACACCCACGGAAGGATTGCAAATGAGGGGGCGCTGCCGCCGGAAAGACGGTGTGCACACGTCAACGTACTCTCTGCATCGCCATTCTACGTACCACTACGGACTTTCCCGGTGTTGGAAGATCGTCAGTGTAATAATCGGTAAGTGGGTAACGTTTTATCAGTGCGTTAATGCGTGCTATATATATTTATTTATTTATTGAAAATACCTTACAGGCCAGAAGGCATTGAGTAAGGGGGGTTACAGTGAAAAATCGCATGTAAATTTCAAAATAAAAACGGTACAATGTCGGTTAGTAATAACAAAAAAAAATTAACAAAGCAATAAGTCAGCAATACGTAAACATGGCGATGAAGTATATAAGAACACTCCGTAACATAAAAACCCTCGGAAAAGAAGTAAAAGAACGTCAAGATGAAATATTAAGGAAATGCGTCTGAACTTTTTGCCGAAACGTGTTGGGGTTGCTATCAGAGGCGATATCGTCGGGAAGATCATTCCACATGCGGATGGCTTGTGGTAGTGCGGATGTGTTGAACGCGTTCGTGTTTCCAAAAATGCGAGTGAAGCTGAGATGGTTATGTAATCTGCGTGACGTGTAGAGCGGGCGTTGAAGGTGCAACGACGATGTTTTGTTACTGTAGACGTACTTATGAAATAGGCATAACAAGGACACGTGACGACGAACATTTAATGCTTGGAGGGAATGATGGAGTTTAAGCTGAGTCACACTGGAATTGATGTCATAGTTTCTAGAAATGTAACGGGTGGCTCTGTTCTGGATTGTTTCCAGCATGTTAATTTGATACTGAGCGGAAGGGGACCAAACAGATGAGGCATATTCAAGTTGCGGGCGGACGAAAGTTAGGTAAGACATTTTGCGAATGTTAGTGGGACAACGACGAAGGTTTCGGCGTAAATACCCCAATGTTTTGGAGGCTTTTGCACAAACGTTAGTGATGTGATCAAACCAGGAAAGCCCTGGCGTAAGGTGGATGCCAAGATACTTGTAAGAAGTCGCCGTGGAGAGCCTGTCACATTGCATATGGTAAGTGAAGTTAGATATGACCTGTTTACGTCCAAAAGAAACAACTTTACACTTATTAGTATTCAACCTCATAAGCCAAGTGCTGCACCAGTTAGAAATAGTGTTCAGATCATCTTGAAGGATGGAGTGATCGTTAAGACAGTTTATAGGTCTGTAGAGCATGCAGTCATCAGCGAAGATTCTGATATGCGATGATATGTTAGTTGGGAGGTCGTTGATGTAGATAAGAAAAAGTAATGGGCCAAGAACGCTCCCCTGTGGGACGCCAGAAGAGACATACGAAGAGGGAGAGGAAGAATTATTAACGATTGTGAACTGCTTGCGAAGTGACAGAAAATTGCGTAGCCAAGATAAAGTGAGGGAGTCTAATCGGAGGGCAGATAATTTTGAAATAAGGCGACAATGGGCGACACGATCGAATGCTTTGGCGAAATCAAGAAATATGCAATCAGTCTGTAGGCCATTATTTATGTTGTAATGAATGTCTGTAGTGAATTCTAGTAACTGTGTTTCGCATGACATGCCCTTTCTGAATCCGTGCTGGTTTGAAAAGAAGAATTTGTTAGTCTCGAGGTGACTGTATACGTGGGAGGCGATTATGTGTTCGAGGAGTTTGCAACATATGCATGTGAGCGAGATTGGGCGATAATTTTTAGGTGAGTTCTTATCTCCGGATTTAAAAATGGGTACTACTTTGGCTATTTTCCAGTCGTCTGGAAGTTTTCCAGACGATAGCGACTGTCGAAAAATGTGGTATAATGTAATGCTAGATATGGAAACAGTATTTTTAATTACCTTAGAGTTGATATCATCTATACCAGCTGATGAGGATGCCTTAATCTGTTTAATATATATATATTCTATTCTAATTATATATATATATATTCTGTTGCTTTCTTTATGAAGCACTATGGTAGCAGTTGATCCCCTGTAGATTTCTTCCAGAATGTTTATATATACTTCATCTACGCCCTGATTCCGCAGTGTTTGCATGACGGCTGATATTTCTACAGAATCAAACGCCTTCTCATAATCTATGAAGGCTATGTATAGTGGTTGGTTATACTCTGAGCATTTCTCTATTACCTGATTGATAGTATGAATGTGGTCAATTGTTGAGTAGCCTGTTCGAAATCCTGCTTGTTCCTTTGGTTGATTGAATTCTAATGTTTTCTTTACTCTGTTAGCAATTACCTTTGTAAATAGCTTGTATACTACAGAGAGCAAGCTGATCGGCCTGTAATTCTTCAAGTCCTTGTCATCTCCTTTCTTATGTATTAAGATGATGTTAGCGTTCTTCCAAGACTCTGGTACTCTTCCCGCCAGGAGACACCTCGTAAACAGGGTGGCTAGTTTTTCTAACACAATCTGTCCTCCATCTTTCAGCAAATCTGATGTTACCTGATCCTCACCAGCAGCTTTGCCCCTTTGCATGCTCTCCAAAGCTTTTCTGACTTCTTCTATCATTACTGGTGGGGTGTAATCTGGGTTACTGCTAGTTCTTATAGTATTAAGGTCGTGGTTGTCTCGGATACTGTACAGATCTGTGTAAAACTCCTCCGCTATTTTAACTATCCTATTCATATTGGTAGTTATTTTGCCTTCTTTGTCCCTTAGTGCATACATCCGACTTTTGCCTATCCCAAGTTTCCTCTTCAATGCTTTGACACTTCCTCCGTTTTTCAGAGCGTGTTCAATTCTCTCCATGTTATACCTTCTTACATCGCATACCTTACGTCTATTAATCAACTTCGAAAGCTCTGCCAGTTCTATTTTGTCTGTTGTACTTGACACTTTCATGATTTGACGCTTCTTAATTAGGTTCTTCGTTTCTTGGGAAAGCTTGCCAGTGTCCTGTCTAACTACCCGGCCTCCAACTTCCACTGCACACTCCGTAATGATACTCGTCAGATTATCATTCATTGTATCTACGCTAAGGTTGGTTTCCTCACTAAGAGCCGAATACCTGTTCTGCAGCGACACTCTGAATTCCTGTACTTTCCCTCTCAGTGCTAGCTGATTGATTGGCTTCTTGCGTATCAGTTTCTGTCGTTCCTTCTTTAAGTCTAGGCGAATTCGAGACCGTACCATTCTATGGTCACTGCATCGTACCTTGCCAATCACTCCCACATCCTTAACGATTCCAGGGTGTGCACTCATTATAAAGTCTATTTCGTTCTTATTTTCGCCATTAGGGCTCTTCCATGTCCACTTGCGGTTTTCTCGTTTTCGGTAGAAGGTTTTCAAAATCCGTAAATTACTGCGTTCTGCGAATTCTACTAGTAGCTCTCCTCTGGCGTTTCTAGTACCGATGCCATAATCTCCTACTGCCTGGTCTCCAGCCTGCTTCTTCCCTACCTTTGCATTAAAATCGCCCATCACCATAGTATACTGTGTTTTTACCTTACTCATTGCCGATTCCACCTCTTCATAGAAGCTTACAACTGAAGCGTCATCATGGCTGGATGTAGGCGCGTAAGCCTGTACTACCTTCAATTTGTATCTTTTATTCAGTTTAATTACGATACCTGCCACCCTTTCATTAATGCTATAGTATTCCTCTATGTTGCCAGCTATGTTTCTGTGAATTAGGAACCCCACTCCCAGTTCTCTTCTGTCTGCCAAGCCCCTGTAGCAAAGGACGTGCCCATTCTGTAGCACCGTATAGGCCTCATCTGTCCTCCTAACCTCACTGAGCCCTATTATATCCCATTTAACACCCTCTAGCTCCTCGAATAGTACAGCTAGACTTCCCTCACTAGATAAGGTTCTAGCGTTAAACGTTGCCAAGTTCAGGTTCCAATGGCGGCCTGTCCGGATCCAGAGATTCTTAGCACCCTCTGCTGCGTTGCAGATCTGACCGCCGCCGTGGTCAGTTGCTTCGCAGCTGCTGGGGACTGAGGGCCGTGAGTTATTTGACGTAAGCATGTGGGAGGTAGTGGCCAGATACTGCACTAGGGTGGCCAATCCTGCTCTGGTGAGGGAGTGCGTTCTCGGCGGTGTTTGCCGGTGAGGCCGCACCCCAGGCCTCCTAATGCAGTTCCATCAACACGCGGATTTATTATTATTTTTTTAATCCGGTTGGGAACTGCGCGGTACGGGATTTGAACTATATATATATATATATATATATATATATATATATATATATAGAGAGAGAGAGAGAGAGAGAGAGAGAGAGATAGATTAATAGATATATATATATATATATATACTTTTGTGTGAGTCCGTGTGTGTGTGTCCCGCGAAATGTTGTGTTATCACAATTGGCTCCTGCTCCTCCTTAAGTCATCACCCTTTGGCTGAGTGTAGTAACCAAGCAACATATTTTAAGGGTAGTTGTCATAGCAGTTGACTGTTTTAGAGACTATATTTACTCCTTCCTCCCTCATAATCAGTCTTGCGGTTTTTGTTACGACTTGCTGTCTGCGATTCGCATATTATTTTGTTTATTTCTTGATGTAGGGGTGACGTACAAGGCAGTCGTAAAATCACGCCTTTTTCCAACAGAAGACGCTATCGACAAATATTTTTTTTTTCAGTTTTGAAAAAACTCGTGACACGAAGATATTTTAAACTGATAAGTGGTTGGCCTAACGCACATGGCTGACGATGCCCAACTAAGAAAAGTTTCCAAGTTTCCCTCACAGCCATAAACTTTACGGAGACATTGGTGGGTGCGGTCGATGCCTCGGATACATGCCACAATCGCCGCCAAACGAAATATGGCGGAAAAAAAATACACACTGGAACTAAGCACTCCGAGCACTTCCAACGCAAGTTATGTTATGTAGTTGTGCAACACTGCAGTGGCGCTGTCGTTATCAGTATACCATCCCTGCATAACGGGTTTCAACCGCCCCTTACGCAAGTCGATAGGGAAAATCTCTTGCGGAAGACTTTCGAACAAACAAAAAATTTTTTCTTGCATTCCTTTCAGCATGTCTGCTTCTTCACTGTCGATGTTATCCCTAGAGACTTTGCCAGAACTGGAACCGAGTGCAAAAAAAAAAAAAACACGAATGCGAAATGGTTCTCTATCCCGAACAGCCATTTTAATACCTGAAAAACAAACATAAAAAGAGAGCTAAC